TTGGGGTGTGTGGATAGCACATCCCAATTTTTATGATTTTTTGCATAGGGTGACAAAGCATTGGAAATTTACAAGACAAGAGTAGCACCAAAAAATCAAGTTTTTAAGTTGCAACATGCTTAGGACATCCTCAAGGATTGTCCGAGATGGGGAACCGATGAGGACTAACAATGGGGAAGATTATTTCAACATGAAGCCGCACAGACAAATGCCAGAGATGAAGGTGTCGATGACATGACCCCATCTCCTTCTTTTGCAAGGCCCCCAAGAAAAGATAAGCAAGAGGAAGCAAAGAGAAAAGGGAAGTCTCAAGATCCGATAAGTGGACACTTTGCTACCGGAATTGCAAAATTGAACGAAACCCATAGCGCTCGCCAAGAAGAAATGGCCTGAATGTGTTTGCAAACGAAGGAAATCTCGGATAGGGAGCAAGATATGTTTGAAATTAATTTCATGATGGAGGACCTCAGCAAATACACTCCAGAGGGGAAGAAGTTCTTCCGTGGTAAGCAAAAGGAAATTTTGCAATTTTTTGCCTCAAGGAGTATGTTTCAAGATGATGAATCCTCTGAACCCTATATCCCAAGTCTTGTACGAAGTCCATCACCAAGTGAAGATGGTGGATATGATTATTAAGTTTATGTAGTGTATGAATTATGTGCTTTATTAATTAAGTTTATTAATTGTCCTTCGTATTAAGTTTATATAGTTTATTAATTATGTGGTTTATGAATTATCGGTTGTATTAAGTTTATGTGGTTTCTTCAAGCATTCACGATTTGGCTTACGGAGGTATGTGGCTCCATATATAGCTTCGATTACCTTACAGAAGCGCTTCAGGTTCTCAATAGCAGTACTCTCCATAAGTCAGCAATATTTGTCAGTTGAGTCTGCAGAGCACCCATTGGCTAGCATGCGAAAAACAGATGTGAGCTTCTGATGAGGTGATAGACCTTATCGGCTTGCGACATCTATCTTCCTTGCAAAGTAGTGGTCATGATTGACAAATGCGTTCAAGATGCTTTCAAAAAGCCTTCTTCTCATTCGAAATACCTCCGAAAATCATGAGCAGGAAATCTTGGACACTCGATGAAATAATCTTTTATCAGTCGGTCATGACACTCTTCTCTATCACGCTGCACAAATGAACGCCCCGTAACAAAACCACGATGACTAGAATCGCCATGGTGCTCAAATTGCATAAAAGAGTTTACAAGTTCATCTTCGGTGTGGAACAATTCTGCATCCTCAATCTCAATCCTTGCTTGGTATTGTGCCATCTGCATTGCCATGCTACGCCTTCTTTTATCACCCATTGATGATTTTTAGGAAACAAAAACTCTTTGAAATTTGAAAGAATGGTGAATATAAAGGATCATTGAAGGTTGAAGGGTTACGTGATCAACTAATATTGGACATATGTTTATATAGAGGATGATTGATGAAAGTTGAACGGTTGGTGAACCTTGAAAGTTTGGTGTTGAATGGTTGGTGAAAGTTGAAAGTTTGATGTTGAACAGTTGGTGAATTGAAAATTTAGTGTTAAACGGTTGGTGAATTGAAAGTTAGCCCAGTGTTGAAAGATTGCTGAAAGTTGAAGGCTTGTTTTGTGGAAAATTTAGTGATTTTTCAATATTTATCGGAATTTAAATATTTTTAGATTAAAATGTTCATAAAATTAATTTACGATAGTCTACATATTTATTTTAAAAAAAATTAATTTAAGAAAAAAAAATAGCCTAAGTTCATTTTTTATAATCCTGGGCTAAAATTTTAGGCCAGAAGGGTTGAAGCAAAAAAACTGTTTCTGGACTAAAAAATTTGGTTTTTAGCCCAACGATTGGAGATGGTCTTAGAAGGATTGAGGTAAATGCTAATTGACACACATTATTTATATTTTCTTAGATTTATACATAGTGTGTAAATTTCATCTAGTGTAATTGTACCAAATTCTGTATTGTTTAGGAAACAAAGGGAACCAATAATCTCTCTGTCTCTGGCGTTGAAGTACTCACCACAAGTCATGGCACTCCCTTTGACTTGACTTGATGAATAGCAGAACGATAATGTTAAGGAAACTAATTTTGTAGGCAAAATTTTTAAAACTAAAGGTCAAAATGATATGCACCAAAATGGCACAGATGATCCTAACGCTGTGGTACTGTTTCAAGTTTCAACAACCTTGCCCATTAAATACAAAGACTTAGGCCATCTCCAACCAAAGGGTCCAGAGAGTCAGAGGGCCGAAAAACGTCCGAAAACCGTCTCCAACCATGGGCTAGGCCAGAGGGCTTATGGGCCCCATGAAATCTGAAAGGGCCAAAGGGTTGGTCCAATCCAGGCAGCCAGCTAGCCTCGGGTTGGCCAGAAACGTGAGCATTCCTGTCAGATATAACTGACAGGAATACGTATATTCTTGTCGGTTATATTCGACAGGAATGCTAGGCCAAATTTTCAAATGCAACGGTTAGTTGACTTCAACTAGCCAATATTTATTTTTATTTTTATTTTTACAGTTTTATTTATTTACAATTTTTTTTTCCTGTAACTTCTATTTTTTTCTATAACTTCCTATAACTTTTGTTTTACAAAATTTGTTTCATATATATATTTTTTTAAATTTTGTTTTTTTTTTCTCTAACTTCCTAAGCCATTATACAACATTAAATTAAATTAAGTAACATGAAACAACATTAAATAACATTAAATATAAATAATAAATTATGTCTGGCCCTATGGCTCTTTGGCCCGTGGTTGGAGATGGAGGCAAATATGGCATTCTACTGTTCATTAAAATATTAATATCTTAGAGGACCAGAGAGCTAAAACCAACCTTCTGGTCAGCCCTCAGTTGAAGATGACCTTACAGAGCAATATCATAGACCATCGGTTTGGATATATTTTCATTTGTCCACAATTTTTTTTTCTTCACATAAATAAAAAAGGTAAGTCTTTATTTATCTAGTTAGAGGACTTGAAGTCTTTAACTAACGAACCAAATGAATTAATAAGCTTATTTTTTCTTAAAAATATCGAGAAGTTATAAACAATCATTTTAGTAGTTAACACATGCCATAAGCTTGTTTCTTTTTTTCGGCTACATGCTAGCAAGTGTGCATGTGCATGCAAAACGGTCAAATGTTTTGGTTGTCTTTAATTGCTTATGAATAATAGAATGGACAGTAAACCTAGAGGTTTGGTCTAGTGAAAAACGAGCAAAACTTTGAAACTTTTAATTCGAGTTTAAAGTCTTACGGATGTATGTTTTGGGACCAATAATTAATTATGCTTCGGCATACTGTTTCACCTGAACGTCAAATGTACTCATGGGATACCAAGACTTCATGGAGAAGATAATTAATCTGTCATAAATATTCTTAAGGAAGATGTAAATCTCTCAATTCGATTATATAATCTATCTTTTTGCCAAAAAAATTATGCTTTCGCGTACTGTTTCTTGACGGCCAAAAGTACACATGTGATAGTAAGACTTCGTGGAAAAGAGAATTAATCTGTCATAAATAAGCGGTGGGAGCTACCTCATTTAATATATAAATAAAAAATTGTTATTGATCGCATTTAAATAACATTAAATTAAGGAACCCTCAAAACTAATTCAAGTACAAACATAGAACAATATAACTTGTTAATCGAAAGAAGTACATAGCCAAATGGAAATTTCACTCGGTAACAATATAAGCGACCACTTTGCTTTTTGTCTTGTAGTCTTTTATAAAAATAAAAAAATAATAATAATATAAAATATTGAAATGTTTTAATCGTAACCGTTCAATTAGAAAAGAAAGAAGTGTACGAAAATAAAGATGAAAGAATCCTATTCCGAAGAGCGCAATGGTTTTCTTTGTACTCCAAATTGACATCAACAAATGTTCATACATGTCACCATTTATGTGGTTGCCCTCACCATTATAGATAACCATACACAGTTACGTATATTTCTCTCGTTAGATATAAGTGCCCCTCCTTATTTTTAAGGATGACAATTCTAACCGTTAGATCTGATAACCGCGGATAACCATTCGAATGGATTGGATTTGGGTATGAAAATTTGGGTATATTTTGGGTATGGGGAAAAACCGTGAACCGTGAATATTATTCGGTATGGTTTTGGATATGGTTATAAGGGTCTCCAATCCGCATCTGTCCTCGAATCCGAACCAAATAATATAATATAATTATGTAATATTAAAATATTAAATAGTATATATATATATATTCATTATTTACCGAATTCATTACCTTGAAAATATAAAAATTGCATTGTGTGAGTTGCATTTTGTGGGAAGTTCGAAATTTTTTATATGAATCAAAATATATGATAATTCAATGGTACTTATAGGAGATATCAAAAATTAGCCAACATTATCAATGTTTAGCTTTAATTTTTATGCTTTACAAGATCTATTCACTAAATCATTTTATCATCAATTATATAGTGACGAAATTAATATTTCCTAAATTATCATGCGTCAATTGGACGAATATATTTTTTGTATTGATGAAGATGAATATAACCGTTAACCGATGGAGAATCCATTACCCGGTGGGTAAGGTTATGGATAATACCCGATGGTTAATTTTCGTGATTATAAGGATGTATATAGTATTTTCGTCCCTAAACTGAACCGGGGTCATCCCTACTTATTCCATACACATACAAGTTGACCATACATATTCATTTTATATATATATTTTTTTTTCCTTTTTCACACTCACAACAATCCCCACCAAACACTTTCATATGGTGTCGTCTCCTCCTACCCCAGAAATCCAAGGCAACCAATAAAGCATACGGTCGTCCAATCGTCCACCTCAGTAGCAACGTCGCAAGAACCTCTCCACCGTTGGATCATGCCATCATCGCACAGCTACATTGAATTTTCAACCAACCCGCGTGTGGCTCTCTGCCACCCTTATGCTCACCTACCAAGCCACTTCCCAAATATGAGTCGTTTCAAAACGCCATGCTTTCCTTCCACTTACCCCTTCCTCTCTATTTAAACCTCCTCCTCCCTCCCTCCACTCCTCAAAAACCAACACTCCACCACCGGTACACCACCGACTTTTTATCTCTTCACCACATTCTTCAAACACTTTCCTCACTTATACTTCCCTCGGCTTTTAGAGTTTTTGAGTTTTCGGTTTCTCGTAATTAACATGGAGGCGAAAACCATCACGCAAAATGGTCAAAACGGCCACCAGAACGGAGTGTCGGAGTCCCCGCTGTGCATTAAAAAGGACCCATTGAACTGGGGTCTAGTGGCTGATTCACTTAAAGGTAGCCACTTGGATGAAGTAAAGCGTATGGTGGCGGAGTACAGAAAACCGGTGGTGAAGCTCGGCGGAGAGAGTCTCACCATTTCCCAAGTTGCAGCCATAGCCACTCATGACACCGGGGTCAAGGTTGAGCTGTCTGAGTCGGCCAGGGCTGGGGTCAAGGCCAGCAGTGATTGGGTCATGGATAGCATGGGCAAAGGGACTGACAGCTACGGTGTCACCACCGGGTTTGGTGCAACCTCCCACCGGAGAACAAACAAAGGAGCTGCCCTTCAAAAGGAGCTAATTAGGTAAGCTAAACTGCCGAGCATCAATTTGCATTGTCGATATTTTATTAATATATTAACTAATATGAAACAGATATTATACCAAAAACGGTGGATTAGGTATTTCCGGAGTCGGGCAGTCACTTCCCATCACTCCTTTTTTATTACCATCACTTGCCTTGCAAGTACCTATAATTTTGCCTCGGCCGAGTTGACTCGGTGTATAGTGAACGAGTTTGGAGGGTTGTTGGTGAGGGTACAGGGGTTTAGCATTGCTTAGTTAATTACTGGCACGTGAAGTGAGTGGAGACCTAGTTGAATTGGTCGAGTTAACCCGAGTCATAACGGGTTGACTTGGGAAACCAGCTAAGTGTGACAGATTATTTTGTGACCAATTAATATTGTTTGTCATGAGTTGTTGCAGTTCAAAGTTTAGAGAATTTGATAAGCACAATCAATTGGGACTTTTCCATCACTAACTATAAATCCACATATTTAAATCTAGTAAAAAGGTATTTGATTAATAAACTTTACTGTCAAAGCATGACGTAAAAACAATATTTTGCAAGTAAAAGATCTGTTTTCATCAGATTGTATACAGATACATGTTGTAACAATTCCTCTAAAAATATATTCTTAAAAGTTAATTAAACTAATAATTTTGCACCAATTACATCGATACGTGTTGTGACAATCAACTGGGACTTTCCGATCTCTAACTATACTGTAGTTGATTGTTGTTGAAGTAGCACCCTTGTTTTTAAGCCCTTAATTTTGGATTATTCATCAAATTATGGCTTCTAATTGTGGCTTAATTTTCTTTGTTCAGATTCTTGAACGCTGGAGTGTTTGGAAGTGCTACAGAATCAGGCCACACACTGCCACACCAAGCAACAAGAGCAGCCATGTTGGTCCGAATCAACACACTCCTCCAAGGCTACTCCGGCATAAGATTCGAAATCTTGGAAGCCATCACCAAGTTCCTGAACAACAACGTTACTCCATGCTTGCCCCTACGCGGTACTATTACCGCCTCCGGAGATCTTGTCCCGCTATCCTACATCGCCGGATTACTCACCGGCAGGCCTAATTCCAAAGCAGTCGGACCAACTGGGCAGACCCTCAGTGCCTCAGAAGCTTTTGAGCTAGTAGGGATCAATTGCGGGTTTTTTGAGTTGCAGCCTAAAGAAGGGTTAGCTCTTGTGAACGGCACTGCTGTTGGTTCTGGCTTGGCCTCCACGGTTCTTTTCGAGACCAACATTTTGGCAGTTGCTAGCGGAGATTTTATCAGCAATTTTCGCTGAAGTGATGCAGGGGAAACCGGAGTTTACTGATCACTTGACGCACAAGTTGAAGCACCACCCTGGACAGATTGAGGCAGCTGCAATTATGGAACATATTTTGGATGGCAGCTCTTATGTCAAAGCTGCTAAGAAGTTGCATGAGCAGGATCCCCTGCAGAAGCCAAAGCAGGATCGCTACGCTCTCCGAACATCACCTCAGTGGCTGGGACCTCAAATTGAAGTGATTCGTTTCTCCACCAAGTCCATTGAGAGGGAGATCAACTCAGTTAATGACAACCCTTTGATCGATGTTTCGAGGAACAAGGCCTTACATGGAGGCAACTTCCAGGGGACCCCAATTGGGGTTTCCATGGACAACACTCGCTTGGCGATTGCATCCATTGGCAAGCTCATGTTTGCACAATTTTCTGAGCTTGTCAATGACTTTTACAACAATGGTTTGCCTTCAAATCTGTCAGGAGGCAGGAATCCTAGCTTGGATTACGGTTTCAAGGGGGCTGAAATTGCCATGGCATCCTATTGTTCTGAGCTGCAGTTTCTTGCAAATCCGGTAACTAACCATGTCCAGAGTGCTGAGCAGCACAACCAAGATGTTAACTCTTTGGGGTTGATCTCTTCAAGGAAAACAGCTGAAGCTGTTGATATCTTGAAGCTCATGTCTTCCACATTTTTGGTTGCGCTTTGTCAGTCCATCGATTTGAGGCATTTGGAGGAGAACTTGAGGAACACTGTGAAGAACACGGTGAGCCAAGTAGCAAAGAGGACTTTAACAACTGGGGTTAATGGAGAGCTTCACCCCTCAAGGTTCTGTGAGAAGGATCTGCTTAAAGTTGTCGATAGGGAGTATGTTTTTGCCTACATTGACGACCCCTGCAGTGCCACTTACCCATTGATGCAAAAACTAAGGGAAGTGCTGGTTGAACATGCTTTGACAAATGGCGAAAATGAGAAGAATGCAAGCACTTCGATCTTCCAAAAGATTGGAGCTTTCGAGGAAGAGCTGAAAGCGCTTTTGCCTAAAGAGGTTGAGAGTGCAAGGAGTGCAATTGAGAGCGGAAATGCTGCAGTCCCAAACAGGATTGCGGAATGCAGGTCTTATCCCTTGTACAAGTTTGTGAGGGAGGAGTTGGGGGGAGAATACCTAACCGGGGAGAAGGTCAGGTCACCGGGCGAGGAGTGTGACAAGGTGTTCCAAGCCATCTGCCAGGGTAAGATTATCGACCCAATTCTGGGTTGCCTCGAGGGTTGGAACGGCGCACCTCTGCCTATCTGTTAGCACGTCACGGTTTGAATGCTGCATTCCTTCACATTCAACTTCATCTGTGTCCATAAGTTTGATTGCATTGCTGGTCAATTAGCCTGTGTGACTATACCTATTTTTACCTAATAAAATGTAAAACCATCTGTTTTTGCTTTTTAACGTTCTTTCTTAGTTATTACTACTTCTTGGTTAATTAGTAAAAATAGTGTTCAATTAGGCGGGGGATTTTTTCAGCAAATGTCGAATCTCTCTCTCTCTCTCTCTCTCTCTCTCTCTCTCTCTCTCTCTGTTACATTAGTATCTGTGATACGAGGCAATCAATTTTCTGAAGTTTTAATTTGGCAAATCTTGATTTTCTTTTGTGACTTCATGTTGTAATCTGTGTGTTGATAACAAAATTCGCATTTGGAAATTGAGTTCAATGAGAAATTTAGAAGAAAAAGTAGATAAAAATTACCATACCTTCTAACCCTTTAACCCTTTAAGCCTACAGAAAGAGAATGTTGCATTACTCATTCTCTCTATTTATCTCTCTCGCTGTGTGAATAATCATTTGACGAGACAGATGAAGAGAAAAGGATATGCAATACATTTCAATTATGAGAGTTTCCCTCGTACTCGACAACACAGAGCCGTAGAGATGAATTTTTTTACAGGTCAAATATAAGGGTAAGAAAATTGGAAATTGGTGGAAGAAATTGCTAAAACGAAAGCTTTAAAAGATAGTTTACTTGCTTAGTGTTTGCGACAAGGGTGGACTGAAAATGGTGAATAACTCGTTTAGCACTAGAGAAATCACAAGGACTTCTATGCAAGGGGAGTGCCAATGTGGCAGTACCATAAGTCAATTAAGCATTATATGAAAAAATTAAAACGTATAACAGCATATGACTTATGATACTGTCACAATAACATCCTCACTTCTACAAGATTCAACCAAGGCCCACCCTCTATTTTCATGGCCTCGCCCACGCCCCTTCTTGGTCCTGTCGACTGTGTCCTGGCCTAACAACCTGCACCACTTGATGTCCGAATCAAGGACATTTCTAAGACTTTTCTTCGACTATAGGTAAGTTTCTCTTGAGGCGAAGGATTTGTCCTGACCTTCTCTCACACACACCAAACAAACAAATAAAGGGCTGGTAGCAAGCGATCTCTTCCTTTTCTCTGCACTCCCTTTCTTTTCTCTTGCCCTAATGACAAACAACATAACCTTCTCTTTTAGCTGTTAGTCCTAATTCCAGTTAGGGTTGTTGGAAACCCCTTATTTTTCGGTCTTTTTTACTTTTTTTTTGGGTGTCCTTTTGGACTATTTAATGAAATACACTTTCTCTGACCAAAAAAAAAAAAAAAGACTTGTCCATCCCAGATTAGTTTCCACATTTTCAATCAATAATTTCTTGTGAGCTGAAATTATGGAACCATTCACAGTTAATTATTTGATAAACCAGAATAACCACATCAGAACTGCACTCCTAAGGTTCTCAAAACATTAGAGCTGCTCTCCTAAGGTTTTCATTTTGAGAACCTGTAAGGTCATTTTATATAAGCCATCAGATTAATCTTACAATAAATTAAGCTATCAACTTAAATAATCTTTGTTACACGAAAATAGAATACTAATTGATAAAAAAAACGAAAAAAAAAAAAGAAGAGGTTTTAAGAAGGTTTCATGTCATGTCTAATCCTTTCCAGCAAACCTAATCTCCTCATCAAATATCTAAACTCAACAAATCCAATTGCAGAAAATCTTAATAACTTTACACATCCAATTTCATCCCATCTGTTAACGTAGGATCCTTTTTGGTCCCTAGAAACGATGTAGGCCCAAGAGGAGGCCCGACAAAGGCCTAAGGAAAGGAGAGAAGACCAAGGCCTATAGGAAGAGCGAAGGAACAAGACCTCAGTGGTTAAGAGGAAACAACTCTTTAGCACACAATATTTTCTCTCAAAAGTGCTAGGCTACATGCTAGGCTTAGTGCTAGTTAAGTGCTAGATATGTTGTGCTAGAATCAAGATTTTAAAAGACACTAGGCGCTAGTCGGGTGACGGGCTAAGACCTAGTTCCTAGGCGGCTAAGAGGGGCCTAGGTTGACTAGGTGGATTTAAGTAAATATATTTTATATATATATATATATATCATATAAATAAGTGTCTGTTTATACTTTAAAAAAAAAACATAGTTTCATTGAGATACATAAATTGCAAAATAGAATAACATATAGATTATAAAGTATTAGAACATAAAATGAAAAATGAAAAATATATATTTCTAAGTATTCAACAAGTTACTTACAATTTATTGAAAAAAAATAAAATGCAAAATGAAAGTTATATATTTTCTATGTAAGTGAGAGTCACAACCTAGGCGGATGTTTGGGTAGGTCTGGATGGGTTAGACGGGCACCTAAGCAGGTCTAGACACCATCTCTTAATCTTCAAACGCCTAGAGATTGTTCGAGGCGGTGGTCAACCGCTTAGCACCTAGGCAAGGATTTTTAGAACAGTGGCTAGGATGGTGCTAGGCTGAGACCACAACCATGGTGCTAGGGTGAGACCACGACCATGGTGCTAAGCTGAGACTACTAGGCTAGGATGCTTTATCAGGACCACCAGAGCAGTGCTAGGCAGAGTGTTAGGCATGTAGTGTTAGGCATAGTGCTCTACAAACGACCACCACCTCGAGTGCTCTACAAACGACCACTACATGATGATACGTTAATCAAGACTAGATATTTATTAGACTAGATATTTGTTAAGTGGTTAGAAGGGTGTCACATCATCTTCTCATTGGGACCACAATCTTAAATGGTGGTTTTGCTTATAAAAAAAGAGGAAGGTAGAGAGAAGTGAGGGGGCTAGTTAGGGTGAAAGGGGACATACTGCTTTACAGCTTCACCATGCCAATTAAGAGTTTTGAGCCATTTTCAAGTAACATTTGTAATCTCAAAAAAAAAAAAATATATATATATATATATATATAATGCAGTGGACATAGCCTAGTTTTGAGAGATAAACTATTTATATCGTGTATCATTTATTTCATAGCTTTGGTCCCAAGCGCTCCAGGGGTTATTTGTTAAGTTTGTTAAACTTACAATTATGAGCGTCAACACCATCTTTTATCAATAATAATTCAAAACAAGTTAGTTATAAAGCACCCAAAAATTGAGATTGTGTGGTTTCGAAAATTGGAATCCCTTCTTGAACGAATGAACCCTTTTTTTCATGAAATTTTCCGACAATGGGAAAAATTTTTAAAACAGATCCCCCTCTCTTTTTCATATGCAAAAGAAAAAAAAAACAAAAACTCAGGAGGAGAGAAAGGGAGAGATGGAGAGAGGAAGGAGATGTGGAGGAGAGAGACGGTAGAGGAAGAAGATGGAAGGTTTCACGCGAGAACTTTTTTTTTTTTTAATTTAATCATTTTGCATAATTATTGTTTTATTTTATTTTTATAACAAATGATAACAGTATTTTATTGGTCATAACAAACAAATACAAGGGTGCCAATTGGGTGCATTGCTCTAGTGACCAATACACTTAGTGAATTTGCACAAACAAGTGATTAATAAAAAACCCCTACACGGCTACCATAAGCAAGGTGCACCAATATACAAATTTGTCACAAGAATGATAGATGCAACAAACCAATACTAGTGCACACACCAATCTTCGCAGATGAGCAAGACCACACAACCACATAAAGTCACAGCTGGAAGATGAGACCACATAATTATTGCTCGTAGATGAGACCACATAAAGTCACAGCTGGAAGATGAGACCACATAATTATTGCTCGTAGATGAGACCACATATTCCCCAAATGTGGTACAAACAAAATCTACACTCACGGCGTAACAGGAATGATGATAGATGCAACAAACCAATACTAGTGCAGACACCGATCTTCGTAGATGAGCGAGACCACACAACGTCATTCCAGGAGAATGAGACCAAATAAAGTCACAGCTGGAAGATGAGACCACATAATTATTGCTCGTAGGCGAGACCACATATTCCCCAAATGCGGCACAAACAAAATCTACACTCACGGCGTAACAGGAATGATTTAAGTTGATAACTTAATTTGTCATAAGATTAATTTAAGGGTTCATATAAAAAAGGACCTCACAAGCTTTCAAAATGAAGACCTCAAGAGAGCAGTTTGATTATCACATACTCCCAACAAAATTTGCTTTCACATTAATTAACACTCAAATGTGGCTTCTCCAACTTTACCATTTATACTTTGAGGTGAAAATTCTGCCCATTATCTATCCGTACCTTGTTCTGTTTATGTCCAAACATTGTGCTTCTTGTGTTATTTTCAAGCAACCTTCTTCTTTTCTTATTGTCTTTTTGCTTTTTGAGCTTGAGCAATCGATTCATTTGCTACATGCATTTTGCCCATCATAAATTATGACATCGTATATACTAGTTTAGTAGATATCGTTAGAATTAGAGTATTCAACTCAAAATCAATTAGCAATAGTTAAAAGTCTTGAGATTAATTAAACTCTTATGTGTAGCTTTCGTTTCCCAATTGGGATAATACTCTCAACAAATATATTGTGAACGTGTTGAAATTCATAGACAATTGGAGCATGTGGCACAAGGGTACGTAAATTAAACTGATGTACGTGAGATGCGACAGCTCATGGCCTCAATTGTAAGGGAATTGTCCTATGCAGTAGTGGTACCGAGAAGAAAGACGTGGCTATCCCATGGTTATATCCCTGTGTGAGTATAGCACTGTGATACGCTGTAATCTTCTTCTACCGAAGAAAATATCTCCAAAAGATATGAAATAATAGGTCACTAGACATCATAACTTGGTCTATTCGCTTATTAGGGTAGCAATTTTCTCACGTTTTTGTTGCACAATCGATCCCAACTACCAAAATGAATGAATGAATTATATATACCTTTAGTGATTTCATGCGTATAAATCGTGCATTGACTTGCACCTCATGATTTCGAGCCAGCATTATATTATTAGAAGTAATTAGACTCCATCAACTCAACCTAGCAAGTACTTGTACTGTTGTATATATAAAGTAGTAATTAGGGATTAAATAACGTGAATTAGCATTCTATAAGGCCAACGTTCCGAGTTTCGCTTTCGGCAATTGTTAAACAACCAACTTTCCAAGT